GCTGCGGTGGCCGGCGCCTCGCTCGCGCCAGGGACGGCTGCCAGGGCTGGGGGGCGGGGATGGGCAAGGCCGAGAAAAGGGTCTCTCTGCTCGCTCGCTCAAGCCTAATTACGGTCTGTTTCTTCCCAGAGTGCCTTCTTTGATGTGTGAAGGAAAGGGAACGAAACCCTTGTTTTTTAAACCCGAGGGACGCAGACCGTCTTTTTCGGACAGTTTGGTTTGATCTGTTGAGCGTGCTTTTTGCCCAGTAAGATGGAATAAGAAAGCACTGCAGCAAATGGCAAAAGGACTTCAGCAGAAACTTGGTCCTTTTTTCCTTCTTAAAAAAAAGAGAGAAAAACCAATCCGTTAAAGCATGCATATTCTTCAAAGTTGCAAATAGAACATAGTAGGGTTTTAAATAACTAAAGCTGTCTTTCAACATGGGATTCCCTGACTGCAGCAATTGTGATTCAGACATTGTTTTTTGGTTTTGTTTTTTGACTAGTATTTGGCCACTTGAAAATATCCGAACAAAATCTAAAAGAGGAAACATTTGGACGTCATTCAAGCGGGGTGACAAATGAACAAGTTATATATTTGTCTTTTAGTATATGTGCTGCCGAAGCGAGCGCAATATTTGTCTTAAATTTCTATGCTCTGCACAACTGGAACCATCAAAATAACTTTTAACGGTTCCCCAGCAAAATTAATGTTTCTCCTTTTCTTGGATAAAATGAGCATGTGAAACTATTCTTTTGAGAAGTATAGTTTGATGATGTGTTCTGTGTTTGCATTTATATAAATATCCACATTGAATATATACTTTGAATTAGCATCAAAATGTTTTATACAGTGAGCTAAGAAACTGAACAATTTATTAATTATGTAGTTGACAGCTGACTCTGGAGTCTACCTGATTATACTACAGCTGTGAGCCTAGGCTAGTTACTGAGCCTCTCTGTGCTTTACTTTCTTCATATGTAAAGCAGGGAAAACTATAGGGTTCAATGAATGGCAGGCAGCTATAGCAAGTGCTCTATTATTGTTGTTGGTATCGATGTTGTTTTAATAATTATTTTCCCCAACTAGGAATCTTTAGGAAAATGTCGAAATAAAACCTCTCATACATCACTTCGGTTACAGGAGAATGTTTTGGGGAATAGATAAATACACCCCCTTCTACAATCGTCTCAATTAAAATTAAAATGCATTCACGTGGTCTCAGTGGTGTAGAGCACAGCCTTGCATTACCCTAGTCAGTACACAGTCTTGAGTCATCCTAGTTGCCAGCAATCTTTTCCTTCTACTTTGATGACTCTTCCTTAATCACAGCTCTTTATTTGGTGAAGTGCAGACAGTGAGGGGCACCAAGTAGGAAGCATTACTTTCAGAAGCAACCCAGTGCTGGACATGTCCATGTTTCTTTGTAATCCCTTAGGAGCCTGACAAAAGAATATGGGAGCATTCATGCCTATACTGACATGTCTTTATCCTAAGACAGACCAAGCTGATGTATTCATAGAAAATATTAGCACCAATTATAGCAGGTAACAGGAATTTTGGACAGTAGCAACTGAAGAGTCAGCACAAGAGTAGTACATTAACATAGCATTGTTTATTCGATTTATATTTAGTACTCATTACATCTCTCACAGAAATCTGGATTCCCCCCAGATCCAGATGGCCCCGGAAGCTTCCCTGGTCTATCTTTAGGTTTTACACACACACACACACACACACACACACACACACACACACTCAACAAAGAAACATTAGGAGTTAATTGTAAAAACAGGAAACTTTAGGCCAGACTGAAGTCTGCAGGAACTTATTTGAAAACTTACCAATGCACGATTCTCTGGTTAAACAGCAGCCTTACAAATGTTTTATAATATCTCCAGAGTACAATCAGGAAACTTCTCTGTTTGGCAAAACAAGGATTGTACATTATACATAATTTAATGGTCCTTGAATTACAATGATCTGTAAGATTAAATCCAAAAGATTCTTATTCTCTTCACTTAGGAAGAGATTTCTTCCTAATACTTTTGTTTTATACTTTGTAGTCATTTTCCATCCATCTTCTCTTAGAATGTTAAATGTAACAGGAAAGACTTTGGAAAAAACATGCCAATTTGGTGAGGTTCTGAGTTATCTGCTCAGCTCTCTCCTAAATGGTTGGAGTGGACGATGATCCCATTTAGTAATCACTAAAGGAAGATTTTTCCCAAGTATTATAATTGAATTTCCCTGCAAATTACAGATATATGCCATTACCTGTATACTAAAAGCATCCGTATCTACCTCTACTCATGTCTATCTTTATCCACACTATATGAGGTGATAGATTCATCCTGAACCAGGCTCCATGGGAACAAATATATTAAAGTATGGGTAGCAGGACTAATCAAATTAATAAGTGAGTATAATACATGTAACCCAAATATAGGAATAGAATGACACCATTGTTTAAAATAAACTATAATAGTACATAAGATCCTAATGATATAATTGACAATGTGAAATAGGAAGAAAGGGGCTAAAGGTGTAGGGAAAGTGGGAAGGGTAGGGGAAAGGGAAAAAGGGAAAAGAAAAAAAATGAGAAAATGAAAAAATGGAAATGAAGTGTTTGTAAATGGGGGGTGAAGGGAGGACAGGGACAAGGGGAAAAAATGAGAACCAAGACCTGTCATGTAAAGGTAAAAGATCCCAATGATGAATGTAACTGTACTGTATACCTAAAATGTACCAATAAACTCAATGAGGAAAATAAATAAACTTTTAGCATTGAAAAAAATAGTCAAAAATGGAGACAACTGAAATGTCCATTTTCTGATGAGTGAATAAATATAATATATCCATCCATTGGAGAATATCATTTAGCAATTGAAAAGAATGACATTAATAAATGCTATGACATGAATGAACCCTGAAAGTACTATGCTAAGTGAAAGTCAGTCACAAAGAGGAACATATTGTATGATTCAACTTACATGAGATGTCCAGAAAAGTCAGATCTATAGGAACAGAAAACAGATTCATGATTACCAAGGATTGGCAAATAAGGATGGTCGCTTAAGGGTGAAGGGTTCTTTTTGAGAAAATGAAAATAAACTAAAATTAATTATAGTGATGGATGCACAACTCTGTGAATATACTAAAAGCCATTGAATTATACACCTTAAATAGCTGAATTGTATGAAATATACATTATATCTCAATGAAGAATTTTTTGTGATACTGGGGATTGGACCCAGAGCCTTTTTCACTGGCTACATTCCCCAGCCTTTTTTTTTTTCCTTTTTATTTTGAGACAGGCTCTTGTTAAATTGTCTAGGCTGGGCTTGAACTTGTGATCCTTTTGCTTCAGCCTCCCAGAAAGCTGGGATTACAGTCATGTGCCACCATACTTGACTTGTTCAAGCTTTTTAAAAAATTATTATTAAAGAATGATACCATTGCCTCACAAAGATTAAAATAGTGTCATCAAGAAATCCACTCTCATAGAATGTGTTCTCTTGATGTAATGAGGCACTTTTTTTTTTTTTTTTTCCTGGTACCAGGGATGGAACTCAGGACCTTGCACTTGCAAGACAGATGCGGTGCCACTGAGCCACATCCCCAGCCTCACTTGATGTAATGAATAAGATTAAAATTCACCTAAGAACAAAGAAGGCATACATATTAATAATCCAGCATAGTTCTATGAGAAATACAATATTAAGGGATTAAAATCAGGAAAGTTGTTTCACTTCTTTGAGCAAGGGTTTCCTCGATTATAAAATTGCCATATTGTTTTCATTTCCTACTGGACATCTGCTTAGACTGGTGGACTTGTGTTTCTGTCCTATATCTCAACTGGACTAAAGAAAGGAAAGTGGGAAAGAGATGACAGGGAAAAAGAAGAGTCTACCATTAGGCCTGTATCAACTGCTCCTCTCTTAAATGCTCTAAGTCTGTGAGTCATCTCAAATTTAAAATAATATCACACACACACACACACCTATCCCTCTACACAGGCTACCATCCTTGTCCAGAATGCTCTTTCCTGCGTACCAGCCAGGCCAACTCCCATTCATCCCTCAGGATTCAGATGTTACCTCTTGGTCACCACCTTCAATATGTTGCTGAAGCTGTCCTCAAACTCCTATTCTCAAGTGATCCTCCTGTTTCAGCCTATAGAGTAGCTGGGACTATAGGTATCTGCCACTGTGCATGGCTGGGGTTTTTTCTTTTCTTTCTTTTTTCTTAAGTTTAAAAATCATTTTGGTGTAAATCTTTTTTAAAATGTGTTGCAATTTATTAATCTTTCTGGAAC